TCCTCCCCCCCCACCCAGGGCTCGGAGGGGGGAGGTCTTTGCTTTTTGCGGCGCTTTTTCTCTTAAAAAAAAAATAAAAAATAAAGGGGGGCCGTGGAGAAAAGCTGAACTTGGTGCTCCCCGGGAGTCGGTGGGGAAGAGCCACCCCCCATCTTACGGCGCTGGGGGGGGTTTCCCCTGATCCACAGAGCCCAGCCCGGGCTGGCAGCGGGGGCTCCCCGCTCCCCTCCCGGGGGAAGGGAAGGCCCGGTGTGCGCCTCGGAGGTGGGCAGGGCTGAAATTTTGGAGGCTGGAGGGGGTGAAAACAAAGAATCAAGGGGCTGCTGGGGTGAATGAACGCCTTTGCAGCCGCCCCGGGCTGTGTAAATCGCAGGGAGCTGCACCGAGCATCCCCGCTGGTGTCACTTGAACGATGCTTCGGAGAGGGGGTTTCCCTCCCTGGGGGTGTGTGTGTGTGTGGAGGGAGCCCCAGCCAGTCCTCTGATTATCCCTAATTAATGGCACCCAGGGAGCGTGGGGGCTTAGAGCAAATACTTTCAACACCCTTCAGATTTAGAAGGGGAAAAATGGAGAGCTCCTATTGTTGCGCTTCTTGGATGGCTCTGCCCGTCGGTAGCTTGGCTCTGCCTTCCCGCTGCCAGCCAAGAACAACTTTCCTCATAACTTCCGTTTCACAAATCGGGGATGGCTGAATAGGGAGCGCGGGGATGTGCTAAAAATAGCTGGGTGTATTCAGGTCAGGCGTGTCTCCAGACTGGCAGTGCTCACGCGCGCGTATTTTTAACCCTCCCCAGCTGATTGTAGGCAGAGCACGAAGGCTTAACAATGAGCAGAAAACTGGGGCATTCCGGGATGCTGTCCTGCAGGGGTACCGGCCTGCCTGCTGCTCCACGTCATCTTGTTTCTTCCAAGGGACTGCATTGCATTCTTACTTTTGATTTTGGTGTGAGCTGTGGTGGGTTACACTCGGCCTAAAACCACCCAGAGTAACTTCCTTTGCCGTCAGCCTTGATTATCTTTTTTACTTCTGTCACGTGGAGGAGTGTTTGCCATGGGTGAGGACCCCGGTGTGCCGGGAGCTGTGCGAGGGGAGGGCAAAACCGCAACCCTTGGCTGAAATGAAAGGGGGTTTATAGCTCAGTGCAGGGGGGAGGGACACGCCTGCCTGCAAGAGCAATAGGGGACAGTGCGACCCTCCGGACCAGTGTGATAGGCAGAAGCCAGCTGTTGCCAGCTGCTTGGCAAAGGAGGTTTTACAGAAGAGATTTGAAATAGAACAGCCTGCAAATATCCCTCCAAAAAAGCTGCCCTCCCAGTACACACTTGCTCAAAAACAAGGAGGCATTGGGGCCTAGTATCGTCATTTGGCCAGAGGTGAAACCCTTTTAAATCGCTGGAGGGGATGCAGGGGTGAGTGGAGGGAAGCTAGAGCAGGCCTTGTAAGTCAAGAGGTTTTGGTGCAGTGGGGAAGTGGAGGGATGGACAGAGAGGTGATGTGTTTTCAGCTGTGGCTTAGAAAAATGATCCCTGCAGCATTTACATATCCACCTGGGTGGATAAATAGGTAAAAGGTTGCATTTCAAGATAAATGAGTGTTTGGAAAACCAGAGGATGATGATGGACAAGAGTTTTATTTGCGTAAGTGAACAAGAAACACTGTATCATTCGTACAAATGAAGCAGGAGAAATTGGCGAGACATTCTTCTTTTTGGAAGAAAAATGATTCAGATTAGATCTCAGGAAGAAATTTTTTACTATGAGGGTGGTGAGACACTGGAACAGGTTGCCCAGGGAAGTTGTGGATGCCCCATCCCTGGACGTGTTCAAGGCCAGGCTGGATGTGGCCTTGAGCAACCTGCTCTAGTGGGAGGTGTCCCTGCCCAGGGCAGGGGGGTTGGAACTCGATGATCTTTGAGGTCCCTTCCAACCCAAACCATTGTATGATTCTATGACTGTGAAGATCAAGCCTGAGGGAGAGATGAAGGTTATAGACTTAAGTGGAATACGGGCTGCCTGTGCCAGGTTTGGACACCAAGGAGCTGTGCAGGAGAAGGCCTGTTGGGGAAGGCTTGGGGGCACGAGCTACCTCCAAGCTGGTAGTCACCCACAGCCTGGATACCGGTGGAGAGGCCAAGAGTTCAGCCTGTGCAGGAAGGTGGTCTGCAGCGACAGGGCTCATCTGTGAGCGGGTACTTGGCAGGAAACTTTGGCTGAAGAAGTGCAAGCTGCTGGAGGATAAAATTCAGGGTAACATCAGGAAGGAAGCATGAAAAGAAGAGCTTGTGGCACTCATAGAAACAGCAGAGGGCACAGGAGGATACACCAAAGGAGTAATTGGGAGTTTAGAGAGGATGACGAATGACATCCAGGGGGGAGAAAGACAGCAGCTTTCTAGCTTTAAAATCTGGGTCTTTGACAAAGGAATTCCAAATGAGTGCAAAGATCAGAAATGAGACAGCTCTTTATTTCACCCCCCAGGTTCCCAAACCAGTCTCCCTAAGACAGGAGCATAGCTTTTGTGTAACCACCAAAGCGCAGAGCTGTGGTCCATGTCAGGAGCTCTTCCTTCGGTGCTGTGTATTGTTTGGGTCACTTTGCCTAATCTCTTCATCAGGAAGCTACAGGCTTGTAGGGTGCTCGATCTCCTGGGCTTTATTTGTGTCCCATCTTTTAAGTTAACCTATAGCCTTCTGTCTTCAATTATGTGTCTGACCCTTTGAT